CACAGAGATCCACCTGCCTCTGCCTCCCGAGTGCTGGGATTAAAGGCGTCAGGACAGGCTTCTAAAGTACACGGAAAAACCCTGTCTCAAAAAACCAAAAAAAAAGAGTTCGAGGTAAACTTTGGCTACATAGTTCAGGCCAGCCTGGGCTACATGAGAGATGGATGGTTCAGCCAAGTACATACTGTTCCCAGAACCTGTTAGGCAGCTCACAACCTTTTGTAACTCCAGCTCCAGGGGATCCTGTAACTTCTGGCCTCTGTGGGTACATCACCCACAAACATACACCTAACTAAAATGAAAATACTAGTAATAGTAATAATGAGGAAAATGTCAAATTTATTGGTTTTAATTGATGTTTGAAGGTCCCAATGATATGGATTAAGTTTGAATGGGAATGTTTCTGCCCTCTGCTGGAAGGGTTGGGAGGGACAGGGTTGCTCGGTAGGCTGAGTGGACACAGAACCTGGAAAGGTGGGGGTGGTGGGAAGGGGCTGTATTCCCTGCTATAAATGTTCCAGGGACGTGCATTTGTGAAGAAACTTCTCAAGCAGTCCAAACTCTTCTTTTAAGGCCAGCAGAACAGCTCAAATTCCTGTGTCCAGCAGGATGCCAATGAGCAGACAGCGCCAGGGCAGCCTATAGCTGTGCAGGTCTGAGGTAGCCAGGCCCACTGGGTGGGGGCAATACCATAGGCAGTGAGTTGCTGCCTCTCTCATGCCAACATGTGTCTAGGATGGGGTACAGTTTGCCCTGGAAGTCAGCCTGGAAGGTGTAGAGTGTCCGCAGATCATCGGGATGGTCGGCATCAAAGAAAGTCAGTTCACCCTGCTCATAGTGTAAGTAGACGCCAATGCGATGGGGGTGGCCAGCCACAGGCAGTGGCAGCCGTGGGCAGCCAAAAGCCTCATACACCCGGCCCTCTTTCAGGCCAATCAGCCATACCCCGTGCTCTGGGGACTTGCTCAGCTTGCCCTTGCGGCTGGCTGTGCCCTTGATGACTCCCAGGCGCCAGTCGCTCTTGCTACCCACCACCACCTCCCAGTAGTGGCGACCCCAGGAGAAGCCCTTGCTGGCCAGGACACAGGTGCTGTAGTCGAAGCGCTCCGGCTGGCTGGCCCGTCTCTGGGCAAGGAGGCCACACTGCACCACTGTGTTGCCCTTAGAGAGCTCCAGGAGAGGGTGGGCAGTAGCTGGGTCGAGCTTGAGAGATTCTGGAGCTGGAAGAGAAAGAGACCTAGGGTTGGGTCACAGTGAAGCCACAGACCCTGCCCAAGAGGAGATGGCAAGCCTGAGTCCTCAGTAGGGGAACAACTGTGCTGACTTTGTGTCCCTGGGACCTGGAAGGGGCAGACACAGGGCTGTGTGGATAAAGTGGATAGATGAAAGAATGGACAGGATAGGTTCGGTAAGTGAGTGAGATGTACAAATGGATGGATAATGCCTGAAACACACCCGACAGGGCCACTATGGAGGAGTTCCGCTAAGGGAGAGGTGTGTGCACCTGCCTGGCTTCTGCAAGGCTATTTGCTATGCAACCGTTCCCACACACTCCTCACTACCCCATGTGACAGTTCCCACACTCTCACTACACCATGCAGGCTCCCTTTAAGTTCTCTGTATGCCTCTCGGTGCCATCAACGAAATGGAAGGATAACAAGTTGAAGCCTCACCTGGCAGAACTTTCCGGAAGAGTCTCTTCCACACAGTCAGTTTGATGTCGGCCTGGTGGAGACCCGGCTTAAAGGATATTGGACTGAATGCGCCTTCCAAAGGCCGGGCCTGCTGGACCTCTGCCCTGTGTGCATGAATCCCAATGCTGTGGGGGCTCTAGGTCAAGGCTGTCTCCCACCCTCTTTGCAGAGGCGTTCAGACCACACATTGATGACACCCCCACTCCCTCTCCTCAAGCCTCCTTCCTGGAGAACATGCCTGCTTCCTAGAACTAGGACTGTGGGGGGCTGAGGAAACCCTGAGTGAGTGTGCACTGTACAGATGAAGTCCTGAGTGACTGTGATTGTTGACATAGTCATGGCCAGGTCAAGGACCTCAATGCCTCAGACCCGTGGAATGATGCCCACATGGCAGCTCAAAACTGTCTGTAATTTCAGTTCCAGTGACGCCAATGCTCAGGGCTTTTGTGCAAAACACCCATACACATAAAATAAGAATTTAAAAAGAAAATAAGCAGAAGGTTCAGAAATTACTAAGATTTCCAGCACTAACATGGACTCACTCCTTTCTTGAGGTCCAAAGAGTATACCTCAAGAACCCTCATTCTAGGTTTGCCTGCCTGGTACATCTCCCCTTCCTCACACATAACAGTCGACTCCACAGCAACACTGAACTTTATCATACCCTGTGGTCTGAACACACCCCATTACTCCCATTTCTCAAGATGGCTTCCACTCTGCCTGCCTTCACAGTGCAAACTTCTCTGCTGTCACACCTATGTGCCTCTACCAGTCCCTGGCCATCACGGCCTCCAGGGTTTCCATAGCTTGAGGCAGTATCTGTTGCCATAGCAACCACAGGATGGGACCAGTTTTTCCTCTATCTGACTAGTCTGTGAGAAAGAACCCTGATGACAGGCACTTAATTTCTGTTATTTTCCTTGGACACATGGGGCACAGCTTGGGGTTAGCTCACACAGAGGAACCAAGGGAATTAGACACATGTGCCAGCAGACACTGGACACTGGACACTGGCTGACCTCTCCCAGCAGCTTAAGTTGAGGTTGTTACCTGGAAACCATGGAGTAGAACTTCTGGAAGAAAGAGCAGGAAAGGGTTACTACTGTGTCAAAGCTGCATTGTTAAGGAGAGACCTGGGACCACACTCTTGCCCACTGCTCACCCGGATGAACTCATGGTGACTCTCATTACCGAACTGCTCTAGC